CATGTATTTAAAGACTTCGCTTAAAATCTGTAAAGATGTTTGATCTTTTAAAGGGTGAACAGGATGCCTGAAAAGTTTTGGTTTAGTCCAGAGGCATATTCATGTTTTAAAATTTATCTACAAAAATCCCTCTGACTAATCAGATAGGGGGTAGGGGCCGAGGGACCAGGAGGTCTTTATGTCTCCTGTGATCAGGCTGGAGCACCCGTCTTGAGGGACTTCCTGCTGGGGACCTGCCCCTCTGAGGCTTCTGTCAGCAGAGCTCAGCTTTGCCGCCCTGGTCGTCTGGACGGCGACTCTGGTGCCAGGCCCAAGCTGGTGGGAATGAAGTGCCTTCACCACGAAGTGCCGGATCATGTCAGCCCAGACAGCGGAAGTCTGCAGGCCCGAAACAACGCGCAGGCAGGGCTTTCACTAAGGTGCAGTCCGCCCTGGACGCAGGGATGTGGCTGGATTTATAAATATTTGATGGGCGCACGCTTTGCTCAGGAACATTTCCGTCTGTGTGGTTAGAGGCACCAGTGACCCTCCTCTCTGCACAGGCTCTTTCGTGACTGGGGAGGAAGCTGCAGGCCCGGGCAGCTCAGAACTCACCGTCACCCTCGCGTTACTTGTGCCCGGCGTCGGTCCCACCAGGGTGTAAGGTGTGGCCTGCTCACCGGAGAGGAAACGCCGGCGGGAAAGCCGCACTGAACACGGCAGCCCCTTGCCTTGGCCCCAGTGGCTTGCTCTGGCAGAGACAGGGCCTGGGCATGTAGTGCTTCTGTGCTGGGCCTCAAGACCTCCATCTTAGCAGTCCCAGAGAAGCTGGGTGACGAGGCACCCTCAGCTCCGTAAGGGAGGATAGCATTCACTGAAGGCTAGCAGACTCGAAACATCAAATGTTAGGTGAGGAAGGCCTCAGAATGATGCCAGCGGTGACGATAGATGTCACTTTTCAAGCGCTTGTGTGCCTGGAAACGTGCCGCTTTCACAGTCCTCCCATTTCAGGCTTCCACTTGCATAGGAGGTCGATACTGCCGTCATTCTTGTTTTTAAAATGAGGAAACTGAGGAATATAGAAGAGCACTACCACGGTGACACAAAACCCAGTAGATGTCAGCAACGGGACCTCTGTCTACGCCTCTCTGAGCTGCACGACAGGCTGTGTGGCGCGAGCGTGTTTGTTTAGTTTGTGGGGTGAAACCTCCATCGTGGTGCTGGTATCAGAGGTGGTGATGGGGCACAGAAAGATCTTTAGTGTTGGGGACAGACGCTGGTTGGCCATGCTGTCCCCTTAGAAGCCGGTCACTCCCTGTTAGCTATAGTGTTTCCAGAGTGATGGTAACTCATAGCCTCATGGGGAAACGAAAGAGTCTAGCACAGTGCCTGGCATGTATCAGTGCTCAATAGATATTGAACAGATCATTGAATTGACCTCCAGTCACTCATCAAATTAATGCTTACTGGGCATTAGTCCAAGTAATGCGCTGGACATGCAAATGACAGCGCTGAGTCTTCGGAGACAGAGTTCTTGTCCTCAGGGAGTTTAGTGGGTGACACAACCAGTGAGTCATCGCACAAGTACGGCTGGGCGTGAGAGCCGCTCCTCAGATGTTGTGTCCACAAAGGAACTGGCCATCTTCCCTGGCACCTGTGCCTCTGTCCCAACCCTCCCTCTCACGGTGACGCCTCTCCCTGTCTCTCAGGGCTAACGTGGGAACCTTCTCACAAACTGCACGCTCCGGGCCCGGAGTCAGCCGCCCTCGCTGTGTGCCTCACCTGGCACTGGTGGGGTGGAGGGGACCCAGCAGCTGCGGCTCAGTGAAGACTCAAATTCAAACCATGCTCTCTACAGGCAGGAAGTCCTGCCAGGGGAGACCCTGTCCCCAAGTCTGCGTTAGGACGGCGGCAGGTGGGCGTCCATGGGAGGGTGCTACCGCGGTAAGGCACTTGGAACCTTACTTGCCTAGGGGTAGGAAGAAGACATATTTTTGAAAACTTCCCAGTTTTCCCCAAGGCAAGTCAACTAGTTAAGGACAGAGAAGCTGTGAAAGAATTATATTTGTCTTCTAGAGTTCCAAGGCATACAATTCTGTCTTGTGATGATTTATAAAGATTTATTTAAATATCCAGTTGACTTTTAGGAACACTCTTCCTGAAGGAAGTCTTGGAATGTGACTCTCTGATGGCACCAAAACTCTATTCATGTTCAGAACAACGGTCAGGGAGTAGAAAGCATTCCCTTGCCAAACTATGTAGATCACAATTAAATCGGAAGCACCTACTCCATTGCTGTCCAAGGCTGATTCTGCTTCCTAATAACCTCTGGAGTCAGAAGTGTCCGTGCAGTACCAGTATCGGGCAGAAGAGGGCGATAGATCCACACTCAGGGGGTATATTATGCCTGGGGCTTCTGGAAAGTCGGGGGTTCGTCTCGAATGCAAGATCTTACTAGTTTCAGACTTGCGAGGTGCACAAAGCAAGGCTATCATTTCCATTCCACAGGTGAGGAAACTGAGTCTTTGAGATTAAAAATTTTCTCCAGTGCTAGACAGCTTGGAGATTCCGGAGATTGGAACAGCCACAGGGCTGGACATTCGGAGATTCTTTTGCAGAATACTTGACGTGACACGGAGAGAATGTTCACAGTCCAGTTAGACGGCGCTAAGCGTAGGAATTTAAACTCAAGCTTTCTGACTTTGGCACTGGACAGATGTAGGGTGATTTCTGCCCACCACTCCACTTACTCTGACTGCCGCCCCTCACCCTTTGCTCTTAGCTCCAGAGTAAGCCAACGAGAGGCTGACATTCCGGCTCTGCATGTCAGCAGAGAGGCCAGCAATCAAGGCCTGAACCGAGACCCTTGTCCTCCCCGGGAAGTGATGCTGTGGAAGAGAGGAGACTAGGGAAGTCCCTTTAATATATACTCATTTCCGGAGGCTGCACTGAATGTATAGCAGTCTTGATGATAACAGCAATATTAAACAGTATGTGCCAAGCTGTTACTCTGCACCAGGCATGGTGTCAAAAACTTTCACTGTGTTACCTCATTTAACTCTCCCAAGTAATAATATTATTCTTGTTTTACAAATGGGAAAAGTAAGGCAAGAAAGGTTATGGAACTTGCCCACGTCCGTTTGGCAAGTAACCCAGAGTCACTGGGATGCCAGCACCCTCTGCATGTTCCAGGGCTCGCTGTGCTGTGTCCCAGAAGTTCCTGGCGTCGTACCCACAGCAGACCTCAGAGGCTGTCTCAGTGTCATGTGCCCAGGATGCAATCTGTCATGTTTTTGTGGTACCGGGGATTGAACTTGGGTCCTTGTGCTTGTGAGGCAGGCAGCAGCACCACTGAGCTAAGCCCCCAGCCCTCTGTCATGTTACTGATGGGACTACAATAATGGGAGCATGTGACATTCAGAAATCCCAGCAGTTATGGACTGTTTTTACCCTGGAATTCAAGGTTTCCCAAAAAGCCCCTTAACCTCAAGGAACGTGTCACCATGGGTGCCTTTCCTCTCTGCTTCTGGGGACTAGAGCATTGCCCAGTGATTCAGGAAAGTGGATAAGCGTACTAGAGACGTTTAAAACTCAGAGAAGTTAAAGCTTGCCCCACCCTCGTGTTATGTGGGAAGATCACATAAATTGTGTGTCATGCCTAATACAATGGACTACAGTCTAAGTCCCTTTATTCACAGTAAACATCACTTACATTTTACATACTAGAGTCATCCATCTACCTATCTATCTGTCTATCTGTTTGCTTACTCTGTTGCCTGTTTTTCACTGAGTATAAAGTTGACACGAGGCCCATTTAAAGACAAAGTGTTCACCCAGAGCTCCCAAACCGTAATCCTGTACATGCAAGCCTCAGCCTGGGTCTTTCCACTCATCTCAGGGGCGGAGCAGTAGTGGGAAGGAAGGGAGGGACAATCCCATCTGCTCTGAAAACGTCGGTATCCATTCCAGTTCCCTGTGCATCCCAGAGAAGAGGGAGGGCTGCACCGAAGTGGTCATTTGCTTAGAGCCTGTAACCTTTGGAGCACAGCTCTGGAGTAATCGAGACTGCCTGATCCATAAACCACATCAAGGCCAGCAGACTGCGTTCTATGCAGAGTTCTTGCATGGCTCCTGATTCCACCCACACTCTCCGCCTGATGACTCTGGAGATTGCTGCCCCTCTAAGCAGGAACAGGTCTCTGCCACACCTCAGGTCTCGGGGGTAGTCAGGGAGTCTGAAACATCGCGAGAGGACTAGACACTGGATATCAGACATACACCCCAGCGCCAGAAGTGCTGAGGTAGGAGGAAGAGGTGTTTATGCTTAGCCAAGAAGGTTCTTTCTTTGAGGCCACACCTCCATTTACCAACATCGTGAGAGCCATCTGCCAGGCAAGCCGAGGAGGGATAGTCAGCCTTTGGCTCTCTCGCCGGCTTCCCTCTTCAGCTTCGGCAGGGTCTGGAGAATGACTTTCCCCCTCCTGGTTCCCGCAGCCCCATCGGCCTGACATGCCGCGGGAAAGCTGCGTAATTTATGATGTGCGAGACTACGGTCATGGACTAGGATTTCACAAAGCAAGCCCAGCGGAAACATCACCTGGAGAATCTGTTCACTTGAAATTAAGCCCACATCTTTGTGTAGGATTTACTGCGCCTGCCCATCTGGCTCCTTCCCATCATGGAGCAAGCAGACCCCTGGCCAGCCTTGGGGAGCGCATCTTTCACTAGTTACAGAAACCCAGGAAACCCGCTGGCCGCCAGTTGTGTTAGGCTGCTGAGAATCCTTTTACAAATTTGAAATAGGACACCATTTGCTCAGCACCAGCTCTCAACTCCCGGTTTTCCAAACTCAGGCTGTTTGCTTGTAGCTGCTGTGCCCACCTCTGAATGAGCGCACCTCGCCTGCCTGAACGGAACCGCAGAGGAGCAGGTTCTACCGGTCCTGAGTTACCCACCCTCGTCCTATCCTTGACGAAGGGAGACACAGAAAGGTGAGGGATGTAAAACAGACAGCTGCTTACTGTGCTGGTCGCTCCTGTCCCTCGTCCCATCCACTGTGCCATCTGGAAGGATCCTCAGGAAGTGGCCACCGTTGCTGCAGTAGAGCAGTTTGGGCTTCTTGTAATTCCCTGGAGGCAGATTAAACTTCTCAGTCAGGGCTGTGAAGGTTGTGATTTCTCCTTCAGCCATGGCTCGCAGCGGCTTATTGTGGTGCTTTCAGGACTGTAAAAAATGAAACAAACCTGTTGAATGTTCTGCCAGCAAAGGCTCAACAGATGCTTTCAAGAAGGGCAGGACAGCTTCAGTGCACAGGGCTCCTGGTGAGCTCATAACCACAGACTGCCCAGGTGATACCCAGAGCCGGGCCGGTGAGGTGGCTGGTAGTTAAGGAAGGAGGGTCCTTGGCAGGGGAGGGCTTTTCAGAGCATTCTATCTTCCCAATTGGACACTACTTTGGACCAAGCTGTGCATTTTTTAGAACTTCAAATTTAATCATTTAGCCAAAGGGACCAAAAAAAAAAAAAAAATCATGTTTTGGTCCCTCCTCCTGGTCTACACAAATCCTCAAATTAAACACTGAAGCTGCACTAAAATAACATCTGGGGTCAAACCACATATGCTGGGAGGCTGGGTCTGAGGCCCTGCCCTCCACCCTCACACTGTTTGGCTAGGTCCTGCCAGGCCTGGGTGTAGCAGAGAGCAAAGATGGCCTGGACCTGTGGGGACTGGGGAGTGTTACTAGTTAAAAGAAACATTCTGGGTTTGCTGGAACCAGGGAGTAAGGCGGCGGGGGGGCGGTGAAGAATGGGGATTTTTAAAGGCAAACACTGTCCCAGTGGGTGTTTGATGCAGTAGGTCAGATGAAGTATGCCTGGTTGCAGCTTTCCATGGGTCCCCACATCACACAGAGAGCTGGGTCTGTTCTTGTACATAGGCCATCTCCATCCTAATTATTTTCTAGTAGGGGAGGTAACACATAAACTGCCACGTTATATTTTATAGTCCTCTAATGTTCTATACACTCACCATATACACATTTAGGTTAATAGTGTAAAAATGCATCAATCGTTGCTCCAAAAGATTGAAAAACAAAGCCAATGAAGGTAAGAATTTCCTAGCATATATATGTCCCATCATGTAGGATAAGGAAGCGCTGGTGACTACAAAGCTTTTAAATAAAGGGCCGAAGACAGTAGGGACCTGCTGCAGGGGCTTCACTGGTGAGTAGGTGCTAATTGTACATGTGGATTATCAAGTGGTCTTATCCTAACAGCGAGCATTGTCATCTTCGGTATATGCTAGGCTACAAGTTCATGCCTGTTAACCTCACCATGACCCTTTGATGTAGGCACTAATATTATTCCTGTTTGGAATCAAAACTTAAAGATATTAAATGACCTGTCCACTGCTAGAAGTGGCAGAACTAAGCCTCAGAATGGGTCTGTGAACGCAAAACCCCAGGTTGTTCTTCATCTCTAGGAAAAGGCAAGGTGATTTCACTGACGTGGAAGTATTGCCACCAGAAGAGAGGTTTTACCCATCGCTTGGCATGAACATCTGCCCCCATCCCCATGAACTCATCATTTAATTCACTTTCTCACTTGGACTCAAATGTTGGCTATCTTCACCAGCAGCCTCTGCTTTTGCCCCCCGTCAACCATCGTATCACAACTCTTCCTCCTTATTCCACAGCCTTGGGCCACCAGCCAGCTGCCTGCATCCCTGCCAGAATCATCTACCCAGCCCTGCAGCAGCCTCATGGAGCTGCTTGCACAGAAAGCACTTTCATCATAGATCAAGGCACCTACTTGGATCATTTGCCCTTGTGACACTGGAATTAAGGTTTGTGTTGAAAGCACTCGTTAATTTTCTCCACTCCTGGCATTTTGATGTTTCTGGTGCAACTCTCTCAACCTGCACACATGGGCCAGTCATTGACCTTAGTTTCAGCTACTGTTTGAGGTCCCTTCGAGGACCCCAAAGAAAATTTTGCATCTATCATATAAAGTACATTTAAAGTCAGACCATCACAAGTGGCACCTCCACAGGCGGTGAAACTCATTCCAGTTGTCTTCACATAATTCAATAACAGACAAAATTTTATGTTGATTTTTCAGGGCAGACAGAGGGTTTATCTTGCACAGCATGTATTTTCCTCCCAAAGTTTCACTGTCTATCCTAACTAAACCTTTCTCTTGCATTCCAAGCCTCTGGGTGGCTGTGCGCCCACCTCTGCCTCTCTCTCTGTGTCTTCACCTAGGCTCTCAGCCTCACTCTCGTTCTAGTTCCTCACTCCACTCCTGTCTGGATCCCCTTCTTTTCTTTCCCCCTGGTGCTGCCCATCAAAGCCAAAGCCTCATGCGTGCTAAATCCAGTGGCTGTACCACTGAGTTACACCCCAGCCTGCTGGATCCTCCTCTTACCTTCCCCCATTACCTCTCCATTAGCACATATGACCAGATCCCCCTCCCTTAACAGACAACTGATAGATCAGTTTTTCACTTATTTTTTCCAAGCACTTCCTAAGTTACATATTTAATTTGGAATACGGAAGACAATAATTATATTCTAATGGTTGCCAGCTAACTGAATAGCCATTCACATTGTCAATCTCAGGTGGGCAGGATTTTATTCCTTGCTAACTAGGGTCTGCTCCAATTTTTTGTGGTTTCGTTGTTGTTGCTGTTTGTGGGGCGGCTGCACGCTAAGGCTGGCCTTCTGCCTAGATCCAGCCCCAGGGAGGCATTTCCAAAACGTTGTGTCTTAGTGTTGAGCATGCATTTGACACTCTCCTTCGGCATTCTTGCTTGCATCCTTTTGGATGAAGAGGAGCAGGTACACCAAAGGATGGCTGGGATTGCAAGTACCGGCTCTGCCCATAGATTATACTGAGACACGCACACGTGCGTGTAAGCCTTGCAGCCTGATGTTTATCACTGCAGAGCCTTCATTAGCTAAATGACTTTGGCCAGAGCCCAGCATCCTCGAGGATCTGCTGCCTCCTGACTGCAATGTGATCTGTGGTCGTACAGAATAACAACTAATCTGTTCTCTGTCTGTCTCCCTTCCCCATAAGACGGACAGTCATGGGATAGCTATTGATGGCTCCAATAACCCTTTGATTCAGCCTTGTACCTGGTAAATTGAAAGACGCATGTCATGAGTCTGGGGCCAGTGTGGAGCTGACAGGCCACAGCAGGTGGACTTACGGATCGGATGGAATCCCAGAGGCATGAAAAGCTTTTATTACTAACTTTATTTACAGTTTACCTATATTTTAAGCAATGGTTGCCCCACAGTTCTTTTCCAATCTGCTATCTGTTAAAGGATGAGAATAAAGGAAACATGTGACATAATAAAACCATAAGGTAGCAGCCTTAGTGGGCTCTGGGGGATTTACACAAATTGCTCTAATAAATGAATCCATTAACTAAGTGAAATCAGGCATTAAACATAATGGAAATTTATGAGCTCTGCTTTTTATTGCTGTTTTCTTTTTATTGGCTGTCTGAAAGATGATTAGCTATGTGTGTTTTGGGAGACGGGAAAGTCAAGGCCAATGGACTGTATGTCATCATTTGCACAGCCAGCCCCTGAAGATTTTAAGAAAACAGATGATTCTCTGGATTGATCAGTGGCACCAAACTGAGAGGAACATCAGGGCTATTAGAACATCCACATTAAGGCTGACGTGCTTGGTTAGCTGTGGCCTCTGGAAGGGGCCCTCGATGTGGAAACATGAACAGGATGAAAAGTGTACACTCTTGTCCCGGAATACAGCAGCTACTTTTCAGTGTAGGGCAGCAGGAAACCACAGCACCATCTTGGCTCTGCACCAGTTGGCTCTGGGAACATGGGTCCCCACTCGCTCTAAGATTTCTTTGCTACCTAAGTAAACCCACCCTACCTACTGCACAGAGCTGTATGGAGTGAGAAATAAGCACGATAGTCACAAAAACACTTGGCAGGTGTAAAAATGTGACCTGCTACATGGCACGGAGAAATAGTTCATGCTGAACTGGTTGAAGCTGGGCATGGTCTAGCTCAGCTATAATCAATGCTTAATTTAATTTTTCACTTGGTTTGAAACTAGAGATTTCCCCCCTTTTTTCTTTTTGTGGTTCCAGGGATGGAATCCAGGGATTCCTGCATGCTAGATAAGCACTTGATACTGAGCTATACCTTTATCTCTGAAAATAGAGCTCTTCGTTCCCTCTCATGTTTGGCAGAAATTGGCTAATCCCCTCTTGCCATTATTTAAGCCACAAATACAGCAAAGGAGACGAAGGAGGCGAAGGCCAACTGTGGTTATATTGAGAGAATTCAGATCATGGTTTCATACTCAGTTCCTGGCTAATCAACAGTTGCTGAAGTGACATTTGTGCAACTTGCTATTTTTTCTTTTCTTTCCTTCCTTCCTTCCTTTCTTTCTTTTCTTTCTTTTTTTTTTTTTTGGTACCAGAGCTAGAACTCAGGACCTTGCACTTGCAGGGCAGGCAGCTAAATCCCCCAGCCTGAAACTTGCTATTTCTAGCAGATATTTTCACTCACCTTGGCTCTGTTGACTGAACTGGAAGGAAATACTTATGGTTCTAAGAATCAAGGGAAGGCAAACACTAATGTTTACCTTTGGGCTCTGTCTTTCATTCCTGTCACTGCTTATGCAGTGTAGGCTACCCACAAAGGAGGACATTTTACAGTGTATGAAGCCGGCAAGGTCAGATGTGTGGGCATTTATTAAGGTGATAATCGAATGCATCTTCAAACCCACCACATACAAATAGGATTCAGCTTTGGTTCCAAATAGATTCCAAGTCCTTGTTGCCTGTTTCTATGAACAGCATCGCCCAAAAGTCTTAATTGTTCCTTACAGCAATTAGTTAACTTTAAATTGTTAAATATGCATGTTAACTGTTAAGAGTAAAATAAATAAAATAGAATGTATTAACTTCAACCACCAAATGGCACTGATGGGGAGGGAGGATGAGTGAAAAAAAGTTTTAAAGTATTTAACCAAAAATATCCAGAAAATAAAATAAAATAAATTCAGAATTTACTTAAAATCAGGTGGCTGAAATGAACTCTAATATTCAATTTCTGGTGTGTTTTTCTTTTGGTACTGGGGATTGAACTTGGGACCTTGTGCGTGTGAGGCAGGTGGCAGCACCACCGAGCTAAATCCAGGCCTCACTCATATTAAATTTCAAATTACAATAAATATAAATAGGCTAAATTTTTGATCTATTTTTATTTGTTTTATTGGTGCATTTTAGGTACAGTACATTCATCACTGGAATCTTGTACCTTTACATGATGTATCTTGGTTCTTATTTTTTCCCTATTCTAGCTATTGGATTTTTTAAAAATTCATCTGATGACAAGAGATGTATTAAAAACATAAGCTACAAAGAGATTAAAAGCATTGAAAGTAAAAATAAAAAGCAAAAATGAACTAGATGCAGTGGTTGCATCCTGAAATCCCAGATGCTTGGAGGCTCAGGCAGCAGGATTGTTTGAGCCCACAAATCAGTCAATGAATTAATCAATTAATCTCTCTCTCCCTCCTTCCCTGTTCTCCCTCCTGCTTCCTCTCCTCCCATCCGTTTAGCAGTACTACAAATTGAACACAGGGCTTTCACACTGAGCTACATCCCAAGCCCTTAATGTTTTTTATTTTGAAACAGGGTCTTGCCGAGTTGCCAGGCTGGCCTTGAATTCAGTCCTCCTGTGCCAGCCTCCTAGACTTCTGGGGTTACAGGTGTGTGCCTCCATGCTCTGCATGAGCCCATGAATTTGAGGCCAGCTGGGAACATAGGCTTTGCCTCAAAAAGTAAAACCAAACAGGGCCGGGGATTTGGCTCAGTGGCCACCTGCCACACAAGATCAAGGTCCTGAGTTCAGTCGCTGGTACAAAAAAAAAAAAAAAAAAAGTGGGAGGGCTTTATTAGTATAACATAAAATAGGCCTAAGACAAAAAATGAGTAAAGGTAAAAAGAATTATTGCATAACAATAAGTGGATAAAATCCAAAAGAAAGAGACAAATTCCAAGCTTACATGTATCTAATGACATAGCCTCAGAATAGAAAGGCAAGAATGCAGAAGTCCACACTGATGGCAGAGATTTTAATGCATTTCTGTCATGACTGGTAGAGTACACCAGTCGCGGTGAGCCTTTTCGAGACCACTGCCCAAACTGTAAGCCCGAGCCCTCTTCCTATCACAGATGCCAACCCTGCAATTCAACCTGAACACTGAGGTTTTAGGTTAGAAAAAACGACTCAGACATTAACATCTTTTGTCTTAAAAGGAAAGCCCCGTGTGCCACAGCCTCGCCACACTAGAGCAAACAGATGTCATATTAACTAGGACACAGAGGATTGAAATACACGGCTATTGGTGGCCTGCCTCGCAAGCGCAAGGACCTGAGTTCGATCCCCAGTACCACACACACAAAAAAAAAAAACACGGCTAGAAGCTTAATTCATTTCCAACAGACTCTGTACCCAATAATGAAGTGAGTACCATTCTTCTCAAGGACATATGGAACATTATCAGAATTATAAAAGACAAGAACTAGTTTCATGAACGAATTTGTTTAACTGTGCCTTGTATGGAAATCACTCCCCCGCATCCAGTATGTGACGGTACCCTTTCACTCTTACCTTTTTTTTTTTTTTCGGCTTTAATTGAGTTTATTGGTGCATTTTAGGGATACAGTACAGTTACATTCATTGTTGGGATCTTGTACCTCTACATGACAAGTCTTGATTCTCATTTTTTCCCCTTACCCCTGCCCTCCCTTCACCCCCTCCTCCCCTCCCCATCTACAAACACTTTATTTCCATCTTTTCATTTTCTCACATTTTTTTCTTTTCCCTTATTACCCTTCCCCTACCCGTCCCACCTTCCCTACACCTTTAGCTCCTTTCTTCCCATTTCTAAATGTCAGTAGCCTTATTAGGATCTTCTGTATTATTGCCAATTACCTTTTGATGTCTCCTGAAACTACTCATCTCTTCACCTTCCCTGGCACGGCCAGAGAACAGACCCAAGGGCCCCCTCACCCGCGCTGCTCCCTTTGGTCACTTCCGAGGCTGCTGCTCCTGACCTTCCCTCTTGGGAGTCAGGATTCCTCCCAGCTGCCGTGCTCTGCCAAGGTCAGTGGTCTTCTGCAGCCTTCAGACTCCTGCCGTGGCCGTCATCCATGGCTTTCCTCGTCTCAGCGGGCTGCCTTTTCTCTTCCTGGCTTCCTCCTACCTGCTTGCCCTTCACACTCACCGAGGCCTCAGCTGCACTTCCTTCTGCTGCCAGGACTTCTTTCTCCTCCTCTACCCCACTGCTGTGGCCTGGCTAAGTCATACTCACTTTTTAGAATGTGGGCTCAGATAGTTCCTCCTCCAGAAAGCCCCGTCTGGATACGCCCTGTATTCCCCAGGCTCGCCCCGACCACACCACCCATGGGTGCCCCTTGCAGCACGTCCTTCACTCTGTGGAGGCACTGGGTGTCATTGTCATCTACATTCGCTGCCTGACCCTTCCCTGGCCTCCCAGCGCTCTGCAGAAAGCCCCTGGGAGGTCCAGCCTGTCCTCCTCCGGGCCTTGTCTCTTGCCACACTCCCTCTGCAAGCAGGCTTTCCATCTCTGGAGTCACGGTGCTCGCTGCCACTGGCCCCACTCTCCCTCTGTCTGGAGCAGCGGCTCTTTTCTCCTTTCGTCTGCTCCACCTACCTAGTGAACTAATTTTCTGCAAATCTTAATTCAGTTCATTCCTCAAGAAAGTCTTACCTGACTTCCTTAACTGGGTCAGGTTCCCCAGGGCTGGTAGGACCATTAACATTTCTCCAGAGCTCTTGCATCTGTTTTTAATTACACCGTCATTCCTGTGATTATTTAATTAATGGCTCTCTTCATGACTAGGCTGTTAGCTCCATGATCCTAGAAACCAATCTGTCTTGCTCACCATGGTATTCCAAGTGCCTGGCAAAACGCCTGGCACCTAATGGGCACTTGATAAATATTTGTTAAGTGAGTGAATGAATATAATTTAAAAAGACCATTTTCTAAGCGATGATAGACTTTTTTCATCACCACTTCTGCGCAGCGATGCTCTCTCCTGTTTGCTTTGACACACTACTGAGAGGTTCTCAGGGTGCTCCACAAGTCTGCACGTTCTCCTGTCCAGGATGACCGATAGCCTTGGCTTGAATAGTCTTCCTGTCCTATTCGTTAGGAACTTTCTAATGCTAAAGAATCCCTAAGTCCCTGAGCATAAACTCTTCCCAGGCTTTCAGAATGAAATATTTGAGGGAGATTGAGATGTCATACTTTAGATGTCAGCAGCCATTAGCAGAATGCTACAGGTGTCCTGGAAATTTAAACAAGAAGAGGAAGGGAAAGAATAGGAAAAGGCCTGAAACCCTTATTATACAATTCTGAGCACCTGAGTGCTCTGAAAACAAAATTCTTTCATAATTCAGCTATGGCAAAGCTTGACCCAAACTGACCTGAGACTATTTCAAGTCTTTATTTAGCTCATTTTGCAATAATATTTATATTATCTGAGGCAGAATTACTAATGCATGTATCCTAGGGCACTGTCCCAGACCCCACTGGTGTTTCTCCATAATGTATGACTGTGAGCCACTCTGCCTTTCTACAATGCCTAGAATTCTTGGTCCTGAAACATCACTGGCCCAAGGTTTTCAAATACGAGATCAGGGACTGGCAGTAGAAGTCAGTTTCTGCCTTTAAGAAGGCTACAGTCTAGCCATACTTGACTCCTCAAGCTGTGCTTCAGAGAGGAGAGGGGCCTAGATGCTCCGGCCAAGCAGAGCTGGCTGGAAGGGGATCTGTCGCCCTGCCCAGGTGGACCAGCCTAATCCCCATCGTAGCTCTCAGACTCCTTAATGAAGAGAAGAGAAAAGTAAGCAGACTCACACGCACATCCCCAAGGATGGCCTCCAACATCCTTTCTTCCTGCAATTTGTGATCTTTTATCCTCAGCAGTCTGGCGTATCCATTCCCAAAACACATCCCTGCCGTAAGAGCAGGGATAAAGGTCAAGAATTCTTTTAAGTGCTTACAGAAAACAGTGTCCACTCCGAAAGGAAAACAGAGCACACCCTGGCACAGCAGCGTGCTCTGCTGGCCTCAGTTCTGCATGCACACCCTGGTCCACTGGCCCTGAGCCGTCCTGGAGACCTGTGTACATCTTAGCGGAAATCTCTTTCGCACAGACTGATGCACTAAAGCCCAGGGCTGCAAGCCAGATGGAGAGTGATTCTGCAGGGACCCGCCAGCCCTCACGCCCCTCCTTTAACCTTCTCTTACTGATGTGCCTCCAAAAATGCTTTTAATCTCTTATGCAAGTAACAATCTCCAGAAGCAGCCCAGCAAGGACATTCCTTTTTCAAAGTCAGCCGACTTCCAGCTTCTAGGAAGATGATCTATTTGCTGGATCTATTTTTTTATTTCCTTCCTGACCTAGAAAATTTAGCTTCTCCAAACTCACTTTTTTCAAAGTACATTTATTATCTGTTTGGCAGTGCTCAGGGCTTGCCCCACCATATGTTACTCAACAGCCAGATCTGGATATCTCATAAATAATAAATAGCAACCATTTCTTGAACCTGTACTATGTCTGAGGCCCTAAGCATGTTGTGTACATTATTTTAGTTAATCTTCAAAGAAATTCTGTGAGGAAGGCATTGATTTCTTTTGTGTTGGCTCAGAGATAAATGACTAGAGAAATACTTTCTATGCAATCATGCTATAGCCTGGTTCAATGTCCAAAAGAATAAGTAACAGAAAAGGGAGATGTGCTGAATGGAATTCATCACTGCTTTATGGCCCCGCCTCACTTTACGGCTGAAGACTTGAGGCTCAGAGAGTTTAAGTCATTTGCTGAGATTAGGTAGCAGAGTAAGTGTGAGAGCTGAGATCTGTAAGCATGGTTTTCTGACTGGAATCCCTGAGTTTAATCACTGCATCCATCAGTGTAGACAAGAAAGGAATGCCACTGGAGCTGAGTGAACTTTTATGTTCTCTCTTCTCTTTGCCCCATCAGCCTGGGTCACTTGTTTAGCTCCCTTAACAGTATGTGGAAGGAATCTGTGTGACCACATCCCCTGATGGTCTGTCCTCTTGTACACCAGTGCAGTGGCTACCAGGGCTCTTCTGGTTGTCATTCTGATGGCCCCCGTTATGGCTTATCTCTAAACTGTCCCCAAAGTCTCGTGTGCGGAAGGTGATTAGATCGTGGAGGTGCGGTACTCATCAGTGGATTTATCTGTTGGTGAGTTCATAGCCAAACGTGCTATTAGGAGGTTGGGCTCGATTGCCAGAGGTGGGTCAGTGAGAGCGTGACCTGAAATAGTATGTTCTTGTCCCTGGCTCCTCCCTTCTCTCTGCGTCCAGCTGCCATGGGCTGAGCACCCTTTCCTTCACCACACCCCTTGGTTGTCCTCTTCCTGCTGCCAACCATGGACTGAAACTACTGAAACTGTAAGCCAAAATAAACCTTTCTAAGTTGTGTGTGTCAAGGGTTGCCAGAGTCCAGCAGTGGGAAGGTGGCTGAGACCCCTCAAGGTAACTCAGCATTAGGTGAGGCCCTCTTAGTCCTTGTCAGTGCCGTCATTTGTCCTCACTGAGAAGGGCCATGTGAGGCCAGAAACCACTGGAGAAAGGTTCCACTGCGGACTGATTTCCTCTGAAATGCCCACAAAACGAAGTTTCCGCAGACTGAGAGAGATCTGGGTTTTGGTCTCCGCTGTGACATTAACTTTTGATATGACCAGCAAGTCGTTCAATTTTTCTGACCCCCAGCTGTCTCATCTGTAAGAGGAAGCTGTTCAGAGTGTGAGTCTCGGGTTGGGGATGTGGGTAGCATGCATGAGGCCCTGGGTTCCATCCCCAGCACCACTATAGAAAAGCAAAGCAAGGCCATACTAGGCTTGCCATGGGACCCAGAGGAGAGAATAGAACAAGGCCTAGGAAGGACCTTGCATATGATGGGTTCCACAAAATTCCAGAGAGCCTATTTCTTAGATTGATCGTTTGAATTTTTAAGGCATTTGGGTTTTCACAGAGCTTTTAATGAGCAAGCAAGCTGTTTAGGTGGGTGTTGTATAGACACGACACCTTATATTCCCTATTCACTTTGTATATGCTACCCCACTTCCTACGGGCTACGCAGGTGTCCCTTCTCTCGCCAGCACCACTGTGACACAAAAAGGCTGAACAGTTTATCAAAATAAATCTGTGGCTTAGCCAGAAATGAAACCGTTAGTCCCCAAACATCAGTTTATAACCTGTAGTCACCCCTCGGTTGGGGCCTCATTTCCAAGGGCCCCAGCTTACTCAACACACTAAAAAAATAAAAAAGGACAAGACTCACATTTTTGCCAGACAGGTGACGCCCAGGCGGCTCTGGAAGGATGGTTAGCGATTGCAGTGTGCGGCTTTGTATTTAAGATTCTTGGATTCAAAGGAGGAATGTAAACACTTTGGAGCTCACGTCACATGTCAGAGCCTATTCTGGATCTTGAAAGGGGGCACTGGGTGCCCGGCTGTGCGCTGAGAGCTGCATCTTTCGGGGCTGTCCAAAGCCACGTGAGAAGTAGGCAGCAGAGCAGGGCACAGGATTTGCAAAGGACCCCTGGGTGTCACAGCCAAAGGACAGGAAGAAAATAGTCATTTGCCTCAGCAACAGCCTTGAGGGCCCAGTTGTTTTTACAGGGTCTGCATTAGGACTATATAAAACTTGTTCTCCTTTGCATTCTTTCTTTCTAAGGACTTTGGCTATTTTTAGAGTCCGTGTGCCAACTCTCCTTGGTCCCGTACCAATAGTCCAAAATCAACCATTCTCCTCTTTGTACTATTTGTCCTATCTCAATGCCACGATGGCTCTTATGGTCCCCTGGCCCTGCTTCCCACACACAGGTTCCCGCACAGCCCTAGCTGTTGCGAGGAACCAGGTGCTTTCTATGCCAGATGGAACAACACGACCGTGAGCCCTGGGAGTGAGTAGTGCTGAACAGGAGATAAAAATGCTTGGGAGTAGTTGAAATCATTGCTAACGTAGGAGGTAAGTTTGCCCCTGTATCTGGTGTCTCCGGGAAGGTATGCAGTGCAGTCAAAATGCCATGTCTCAGAGAAAGGTAGGTGCAGATAACCAGGAAAGTGCCTTTATCTCCAGGAGAGGCCTTTCACAGGACAAGCTTCAGTCCCGGCGGGGAGCTCGAAGCGTAGTTTGCTCTATCCCTTTGGCTTGTCAGCATTTCTCTCCTCGTTTGCTTTTCTTCTATCTGACCTTTCGGGGTCCACTACCCTGCTCATTCTTACAGATCAAAGAGCCACTGTGTTGGGTGCGGCTATTTGAAAAATAGAGAAACCTTAGGACATTGGCCCCTGAAAGCAGATCAGGCATCAAGAAGGGAGGAGAAATGTCAGAATGACTTTGTCCTGCTCTCTGCTATCTTTTCGCTCCTAATTCCTCTCTGCAATGATCTATGTTCTTTGGCTCCTCCTTGGCTCTGTCAGGTTCGAGGGATTCTCCTGGGATTTGATAAATCTAAAGCTCTAGATAGGCCCATGGGCTACAGCAGACAAAAGGCAAGAGGACATCTCCTGGTGTTCTCGTGGTACTGTACTCTTGAACCCTCACTGGCGTAACCTTCCTATACATCTGTTCTTACAGAAAATAAGTAGACAAATGGATGTTGCCTCTAAAAAATTATCTTCTACAGGGCGTGGTGCTACAGACCTATAGGCCAAACTCTGGGGAGGCTGAGGCAGGAGGATCACTGTGAGTTTGAGGCCAGCCTGAGCTGCACAGTTCAAGGCCAGCCTGAACTACATAGTGAGACCCTGTGCCAGAAAACAAAATAAATAATTAAAAATGATCTCCTATGAGAGTAAGTCATTAGGCTGTGATATTTAACACTATGTAGGGAGTCTGATGGATTGGATTTCCAAAACTCCTTATTAATGCCGAGAATCTCCAGGCAGGGCATCTGCCTCCCTGAGCCTAATTCTGTTGGGCCCATCTTATGGAAGGAAGCTCCTCGTTTTCCTGTATCCTATCTCATATCTAAATGTTTCATTGTGAACATTTATGGTACTTTATACTTTCATTTACTTGTTTACTTATTGTTTTCTCTCTCTCTCTCTCTCTCACACACACACACACACCAATGTAAGCCTCATTATAGCCTACATCAGGTTTGATTTGCTCACATTATATTGTCAGCACTGTTACGTATCTGGATTTCAAAATTTATTTGATTTGTTACTCGTTATGGATATTTTTATATCACATTGGATGTTTTGGGAAAAATATTGCATAGAAGGATACTTATTAGAATTACAGAGGGGAGCAATTAGCGTTCAGTCACTCATCCTAGCCCCAGCCCTGTCTCTGAGGTCTACTAACCGAGGCCTCTGCCTGCAGTGAAGATTATCAGACTTCTGTACACATCCCCATCCCCACCAGCTGTGAACAAGCCCACCGTCCCCATAAATCCTGTTTTCTGAAAAAGTCTTCTCCTTTGTTGTTGGTTTCCTCCTGTCATTTTAAAATACAGAGCCAGATCTCTCTCTCTCTCTCTCTCTCTCTCTCTCTCTCTCTCTTTTGGAGACAGGGTCTCACTGTGTAGTTGAGACTGACCTGGAACTCACTGTGTAGCCCAGGCTGGTCTCGAACTCACAGCGATCCTCCTGCCTCAGCCTCTCGAGTGCTGGGAGAACAGGCGTGCGCCACCACGCCTGGCTGAAAGATTTCTTAAAACCCGTCATATTGGTTACTTTCTGACTCAAATCTTCCATGGTTTTCATTTCCGTAAAGCAAAATGCAAATCCTTAACGTGGTCTGGAAGCCCCTGAACAGCCTGGCCTGATCTCCCATTCCTCTCTCTGTACCTGCCTTCCAGCTTCTCACCTCCTCTTCTCCACACCACTGCTTTCTGACAAACTGTTCCCATCTCAGCAGCGCCCTTCCTGGTGGCTGAGCGCTGCCCTCTCAGAGCCCTTCCCTGACCTCCCCACCTAAGCTCGCTCCACCTCCCTCGTTCTTCCCATCATGCCCTGTTCTCCTCTCTCCCAGAACTTCCTGTCTCTGTAAGTCCTGCTGGAGGTCTTCTGCTCAGACCGTAAGATCCTGGGGGATAGAAGCCGTGATCGTCACCTCCTCCTCCTCAGCCCTTGTGCCAGGGATGGCTCGAGGAGTGGCCCAGATGTTTGTGAAGTGAGCGAGAGACAGGAGAGGAGAAAGGAAGGCGGAGCCACGGATAAGAGTGTCTCAAAGAATTCTTGAGATTGCAAATTCTTGACCTAAGGATTCTGCACAAAGGACTTTTGTGTGCCATTCTGCTCCCCATTGTAATGAACTTTGCTCTTCTGAAGCAAGTGTTTTTCCCTTTAGATTATTTTTATACAAAAAACTGAAGCAAATATAGAAATAATTATCGATTCCCACTCAGCTCCCTGTTCCCTATCACCAACATCCTCCCGAGAACCTGCTGTAGAATTCCTGGGAACCACAGGAAATAAATCCACTAACCACTTAAAATGCTCTTATAAAAATAGCCCAGACTTGACCTTCTTCCTGTGGAAGGGCCTCTTTCTTCAGGGCAAACATTATAAAGAAATTTTATCTGCTTTTAGACTCCCTCTTCTGTCATTCTCCCCACAGGATTTATCTGGATGGACTCAGATTCCTGTCCTGAAATTGTCCCCCTACGCTGGCCGGGTCATCATTTGAGCAAATTGCTCATTTATTATTTCGAGGCCATTGTTTTTATACAAAAATGAGAAGATGGATAGAAGTCAAGGCTGAGGGC